CACATTGGTTATACAGCTACATATATACATACAGCAATACTAGTGTCTGTTGTATTCTGCTGCCCTTCCTATCCCCCCTCCCCTCCCCTCCCCTTCCATCACCTCTCTCTACCCAATCTACTGTGACACATTTCTCTCTTTTTTTTCTTCCCCCTCACACCATCATGTATGTATTTTGTATAATGATGAGGGTCTCCTTCCATCTTCCGTGCAATTCCCCTTCTCCCTCCCATTCCCTCCCACCTCTCTTCCCTATTTAGTGGCAATCTTCTTCTCATGCTCTTCCTCCCTACTCTATTTTGAGTCACCCCCCCATATCAGAGAAGACATTCGGCATTTGTTTTTTAGGGATTGGCTAACTTCACTTAGCATAATCTGCTCTAACGCCATCCATTTCCCTGCAAATGCCATGATCTTGTTATTTTTTAGTGCTGAGTAATATTCCATTGTGTATAAATGCCACATATTTTTATCCATTCATCTATTGAAGGGCATCTAGGTTGGTTCCATAGTCTAGCTATTGTGAATTGTGCTGTTATGAACATTGATGTGGCTGTGTCCCTGTAGTATGCTCTTTTTAGGTCTTTTGGGTATAGTCCGAGAAGGGGAATAGCTGGGTCAAAAGGCAATATCACAACAGACACTACAGAAATGCAGAAGATAATTAGAAATTATTTTGAAACCTTATACTCCAATAAAATAGAAGATAGTGAAGGCATCGATAAATTTCTTAAGTCATATGATCTGCCCAGATTGAGTCAGGAGGATATACACAACTTAAACAGACCAATATCAATTGAGGAAATAGAAGAAGTCATCAAAATACTACCAACCAAGAAAAGCCCAGGACCGGATGGGTATACAGCAGAGTTTTACAAAACCTTTAAAGAAGAACTAATACCAATACTTTTCAAGCTATTTCAGGAAATAGAAAAAGAGGGAGTACTTCCAGATTCATTCTACGAGGCCAACATCACCCTGATTCCTAAACCAGACAAAGACACTTCAAAGAAAGAAAACTACAGACCAATATCTCTAATGAACATAGATGCAAAAATCCTCAATAAAATTCTGGCAAATCTGATACAAAAACATATCAATCAGATCGTGCACCATGATCAAGTAGGATTCATCCCTGGGATGCAAGGCTGGTTCAGTATATGGAAATCAATAAATGTAATTCACCACATCAATAGACTTAAAGATAAGAACCATATGATCATCTCGATAGACGCAAAAAAAGCATCTGATAAAATACAGCAACCCTTTATGTTCAAAACACTAGAAAAACTAGGGATAACAGGAACTTACCCCAACATTGTAAAAGCTATTTATGCTAAGCCTCAGGCTAGCATCATTCTAAATGGAGAAAACTTGAAGGCATTCCCTCTGAAATCTGGAACAAAACTCTTAATAATAAAATGATAAATTGAATTGTAGTACTTACTGTGGTGAATATTATGTATCAAAAGGAAAGTGTGTATGAAATGTACAAATGCAATGCAAATGTAGGTGTATAAAATTAAAAGTAGGATATGGTATGTATAGTTTATGGCATATATAATTTCTGACATTTTAATGATAATAACTAATACTTTAATGTGCCCTTTACTATGTGCACAGTACTATTTTGTTTTGCCTACATGTTAATTCATTGAATCCTCCTGACAACCTCTGCAGTAGGTGCTATTATTACCCCCTCTTAACAGATGAGGGCACAGCTGTGCTATGGTTGAATGCAAGCTCAAGTGCATAGCTGGCTGGAGGGGGCCCAGGCAGCATGCTCCACACTGTCAATTCATGTATTACACAGACTGCCTCTATTGTATTGAGCCATCAAATATTGAGGGCTCATTCTATGTCAGGCAATATTAACCTTTGGAACCCCAGAACCCTACAGACATGGTGATAGCTCGTAAGAATCCTTATTCTAGTAATAGAAGAAAGTGGAGGTAATCATACAATACATGCCATGCATATCATTAAAACAGGCCAAGTTGTAAAGACTGAAGTGATTTCTGTGGTGTGTTCTGTCAGAAGGGCCTTTCTGAGAGGTCACTGTAGGAGGAACTATCCAATGGCAGGAACCAGCTAAATAGTGATTAGGGCAAGTGGTTGCAGCAGAAGGAGCAGCTGCTCAGTCTCCTATGGTTGGACAACAACCAGGAGACAATGTGCACAAAGCTGATCCAGGTATGATGTTCCTACCATCTCCAGAAATGTCCTTGTGGCTATGCTGCAGATGATTCATATTCATTATGACCAGAATCCAGTTCTTCATCGTTCCTTTCTGGGATGGCCCTTTCCCTGGACTCCATCTCCAAGAAAGACACCCACTGCAGATCCTAAATCTTTCACATTAATACTTTCTCTCTCTCTCTCTCTCTCTCTCTCTCTCTCTCTCATACCAGAATAATCTATACCACTTATTTTCCATTTGTAGTTATAGTCATTGCCTCTTAACTGGCCTCCCTTCTTACCTCTTCTAGTTCGTTCTCTGAATTCCAGCCAAAGTGATCTTCCAAAAACATCACATTACTTCTTCTCCAGCTCTTCAAAGAACACTCATTGCCATTAGGATAAACCTGAACCACAGGTACATCCTTGTGTACCACAAGCAGTTATGGCTTGTGGTCCAAGTCAGTCCTTCTACCTTGTTTTATATAGCCCATAAATTACGAGTTATGTTTACAATGTTAATAACTAAAAAAAAATTAAATAATATTTCATAACACATGAAAATTATATGAAATATGAATTTAAGTGTCCATAATAAAGTTTACTGGAACACAGTACACTCATTTGATTATTTATGGTCAGCAACTACTTTCACAGTACAGGCACAGTACAATAATTGTGACAGATTATATGTTACTTGACCCTGAAATATAGACTCCATGGCCTTGTATGGAATAAGTTTGCTGAGCCGTCTCTGTACTGTAGTCACCTCTCCTTCTGACTCTAGCCTTTAGTCTTCTCCATCCCTAACCTACAGTGCTCTCCCATTTGCTGGCTTTTGCACAAATTGTTCTTTTTCCGGAACTCTACCCTAACATATCATCTTTCACTTGTTCATTCATCTAAAAGATCCCACTCCAGCTTCATTTCCTGAAGGAAACTGTCTTAGCATGCTACAGTTTGTGTGAGGCACCTCTCTCTTTTCTCTTGTTCTTCTCACATCCAGGTTCTTGCTTCCTACCCAAGTCAAGCTCCATGGTCAGTCATAGCCACAACCTCTTTGCTGTGTACTCACCTCCTTTGTTCCTTGCTCCTTCCAGTGTTCCCATAGAACTCCAAGTCTATCACCCAGACCCAAATCTTAGGATGTATAGCCCTAATCTATAGACTTTAGAGTCTCAGGCTCCTTGACTGCTCTAGAGTCCTGTGCCTTACACTTTCATCATTCTCTGTCCTTGAGGCCACACTGGACTCTCATAACCATCCCAGTACCCTTCACCCTCCAATTATCTTGCTTACTATTTCACATGGAAAAAGAGAAGCAGCCAGAAGTTCTCTTCCTCATTATCATCTCAAGAGTTCTGTCAGCCTTACTGCCTCAACTTATCACATTCCCAATGGAATGTCCCATGTCCCTTCATAAGACCAGCTTATCCTTTTGTGGTAACCTCTGTTGTATTTATAAGGACCTCCTCTAGCCATTCTTCCCCTCTCCTGTCCTAACATTTGCCTCTTCTAAATTATTCCGATAACCATACAAAAATAGCATATACTACTTATCTTTAAGAAATACTAACTGCCCCTTCTTGACTCCAGAGCCTCATTTTCTGCTCTTGCCACAGTCATTCCCTTGTTATTTGTTAAATGCTACAAGCATACTCCTGCCAGAGTCATCTTGCCTGCTGCTCTCCTAGTCTGCAATGATTTCTTCCACATAATTTGCCTAGTTGCCTCCTCATGTCAGTCAGGTTCCTGCTCAAAGTTTACCTCCTCAGAGAAGCCTTTTATGGCAATTATGTAAGAAAGGCTTTTCTTCTGTCATGTTACTTCTTGTCCTGGCATGTATTGCCACCAGAATATATATGTATTTATTTGTTAATTTTCCACAAAGCCCTGATTTTACATTACTTTCTGTACTTGGAATTCAGCAGTGACAACTTCATTTTGAATTTGGTTTCCCTCATGGTGGAAAAGAACTGAGCATTTCCAAGCTTTGTATCTGCATCCTGCATGAGAGATTGGCAAACTTTTCTGTAAAGAACCAGATAGGAAATATTTCTACTCAACTGCAACACTGTAAATTAAATAACTTACAAAAGCAGACAGCAGTCCAGAGTCAGCCCAAGGCCATAGTTTGCTGACCCTTGCCTTATACCATCCAAAAAGAACAAGTGAATTTTCTAGTAGTTCTCTAGGAAGAATAAAGGGGCTTTGTTTTCTGAAGTCCCCAACAACCCTCCCTTTTTAGCTTGTTGGCCTGAATTTTGTCTAATACCTAATGGTTGTCTCTTCCCTAAAGTAAGTAGAATGAGATTTTCTCATTGGTGTAAAGTACTCAGGGCTTACTCAGAAACTACCAGGTGACAGGAGTTTCCCAAAGTTCATGGGATGCATGGGGCCAGGTAATTACCAGAACAAAACTGTATTATCAAGAGGGGGGCTGAGAAATGTGTACTGGGGAGGCACCCAAATAAGGTATTTGTATGGTTAATCATGGTGCATTGCAGTGTAAGTTTGTGCAAGTCTTGTCCTCCTAGAATGTATGCCCCTTGAGGTCAGGACTGCACTATTTGATTATTAGTTACCAGCTTGCACCTTGTATAGAGCTCATACACTTTCATCACTTGCAAGTGGTAAAAATCCTTGGCTCACACAGATTACTATATTTTTGGGTTTTTTACAAAGTTAATAACAAAAATCCTTTGTCAGTCATATAAATAATAGGAAAAAAGTTTTCTTTGGAAAAGAACTTGATTCGTTATTGATTAAAACTTCTAGTTCTTGAGGAATTAAATTGAATTTTTTCTTTTTTTTAACTTAAGGTTCACAAAAAGGATTCTGGTTTTTGGCGAGATTTTGGCTTCGGAATGACTTGTCAATATCAATCTGATTTTCTGACCGTTGGTAAGTTTATCTTACATTTAAGGATGGGACTTTACATATTTACTATAGACCTTATGGTGTTTTTCAAAAATTTTTCATACTTGAGTATTTTTATTTCTTTTTTTTCAGGGGGGGAGCCAGGTTACTGGGGATTGAACTCAGGGGCACTCAACCACTGTCTCAGCCTCCCAAGCCACTGGGAATAAGTGTTTTTCTTTTGAATCATGTATGTCTCAGGTTATATTTAGAAATGTAAAAGGCAAAGTGAGTTTATAATTAATGTCTTTGACAAGCAGAGATAAAGATAAAAGTGTAATATTTACTAATTCCTTTGAAATCAAAACACCACTAGTTTTTTAAAACACCTATTTGGCATGTTGCCTAAATTGTAGTTGATTGCAGTACTCTTACAAAAGGTCTCTCTATAACCTACTGTAGTATTCCTGGGTTGTTACAGCTGCAAGTAGTCTTAGGTAATCTAGTTTAAGGATTTTCATATGTTTTCATTTAAAGATGAACTTCTTTTTTGTCTATTGAACTATTATGCAAAATTCCATTGTTTAGGAAAAGAGAGATTTTCTTTCTAGCCTGATTGAAGTGGGATTCAGCGGCTTAGTTGTTCATCCCATAAGCTCAAAGATGTGGTGAAGAATCTGATCTAGCCAGGTGTGGTGGTGCATGCCTGTTATCCCAGTGGCTCAGGAGGCTGAGGCAGGAGAATCATGAGTTCAAAGCCAGCCTTAGCAAAAGCAAGGCACTAAGCAACTTAGTGAGACCCTGTCTCTAATAAAATATAAAAAAGGGCTGGGGATGTGGTTCAGTGGTTAAGTGCCCCCTTGGTCAATCCCTGATACCAAAAAATAAAAATAAAAAGTGTCAGAGAATAGTTCAGCAAAGCATGCTGACCTGAATTCCATGTCTCCTGATTCATTTAGTGATTCCCTTGCCACATCATAGAAGAAGTCATATGTCTTATGTACATTTTAATTCCATATTACATTTATTTTTAAAATTAGCCATTTGTTTTGGAAATCCCTCCATGTTGTCTCTTTATAGGAAATAATGATAAAAAGACTCTTAAATGAAACTAATGCCCTTTTCCCTGATTTCTTGTTTAGTATAACTTTAAGCATTCACTTTCAAAAACAGAAATACTAATGTATCTTAAAGTTCTCTGATTCTGTTTTTAGTTCAGATATACTGTTGAGTTGTTCTAATGGTTTTCTCATTTCAGTTATTTTAACTTCAGAATTTCTATTTGGTTATTTTTCTATAGATGTAATTTCTCTTCAAATAATATGCTGTATTTAATGAGATATTGTTATCTTACATTCTTATACTTCTTTAAGCATGAATTTTTTTAATACTTTGAATATATTTATAATGGCAACTTTGGAATTTTTGTCTGTTAAAGCCTACATCTGGGCCCTATCATAGGGCCCTACATTTTTTTTATGCTTTTGTAATTTTTTTCTTAAACTGGACATTTTGGCAATATATTGTGGCAACTCTGGATACTGATTCCCCTATTTCTATGGCTTGTTTTTCCTTTTTCTTATTTATTTATTGACTTGGCAGGACTATTTAGTGAATTTTCCTACCTCCACCCTAACTCCCCATCAATATGAAGCCTCTGATGTCCCTCTTCAGAACATGTGCACAATCTTCTGAGGTGGCACTGGATTTAGCAGGCCTCTCTTTGACTCTTTCCATGCCCTTGTTGGTATTATTCTCAACTGTTAGGAATCACTGATTGCTCACTAATTGCTATCTTGTTTGTGACAATATTCGAATGCACTGATTGTTCCGCAATCTGAACCAATTAAATTAGGCTTTTTTTCAGGGGTAGTTTTTGAGGCAAGTGTTTGGACCCCAGAAGGGATGTTCTTCCTGTCTCTGCCCTCATTCTCTCTAGTAAACTAACTGGTCTACACAGTTCAGGTTTTGCCCTCATGAAGTTACGAGCCTCTGAAGTGCTTAAAACCAAAATCTCCATTATTTTCAAGAATCCCTTTAGACTTGAATTTTTCTATGCCTTGTTTCAAATTAAGTCACATTCTTTTGAGCAGTTTATTCTTGTGGACTGTCTCTTCCCTTAGGAAAAATTTCTGAGCAGCTGTTCTGGAGCTGAGAATAGAAACAGTAGCACACTTCTCATAAAGCAGAGGTGTTCCCTTGCAAACACCTCTGCTTTATGAGAAAAATGCTGCATAGGGGCAGTAAAGCCCCCAATATTTTCTGTCTGCCTTGTCTGGAGTAGAGCTTCCACACTAAGTATGGACTGGTGAAAAGGGAGTTTCCCATTTGGAATTTTGCCCCTTTTATTTGGATCTCCTCTTTTCTTCATTTCTTCTGTTATTAGTATTCCCATTATGTATATGTTACACCTTTTGTAGTTGTCCCACAGTTTTTGGATATTCTGTTCTTTTTTTTTTTAACTTTTTTTCTCTTTGCTTTTCAGTTTTAGAAGTTTCTTTTATATCCTCAAGGACAGAGATCCTTTCTTCAACCAAATCTAGTTTACCAGTGAGCCCATCAAAGGCATCCTTCATTTCTGTTACAATGTTTGTGATCTGAAGCATTCCTTTTGAATACCTTCTTAGAATTTCCATTTTGCTTGTATTACCCACCACACATGTTATCTACATTTTCCATTTGATCCCGTAACATATTACTCATAGTTGTTTTAAATCCCCAACCTGATAATTCCAATATCCCTGCTGTATCTGAATCTGGGTCTGATTATTACATTCTCTTCAAATTATTTTTTTCCTTTTAGGATGCTTGTGTTTTGCTGTTGTTGTTATTGTTGTTGAAAGCTGGGCTTTATGTACTGGGTAAAAACAACTGCACTAAGTAGGCCTTTGTGATGTGGTGATGAAGTGTGGAGAGAGGAATGTTATTCTATAGCACTATGATTCGGTCTCAGTGTTTTAGTGAGCTTGTGCCTCTGGACTGTGAACTTCACATATCCTTTTCAGTCCCTTTTCTCTTCAAAGACAGGATGGCTAGAGGGGCTAAAATTGATTATTTCCTTCACCCAGGTCATTTAGACTGGGATTAAATAGTTTCTCCTGAGGTCTTGCCTTTTTAATAAGAACAGAATGCTCTGGCATATTTCAAAATGGTTACCTTTGCCTCCCTCCCCTTGTCAGAAACATGAGAGGATCTTTCTCTGATCTTCAGTATGAGAACATGGTAGAGCTTCTAAAGGTAAAACTCTCAAGTGTGGGGATCCCAGTATCACTGGGGACCCCAGGAATTTTTAACTCTCAGATATGTTTACACTGAGCCTCTAGCAATTTGGCAATTATTGGTTTTTCTCCTCTGTACTGTCTCCTGTAGAGATTTATTCTCTAGTAACCTGTGATCCATTTTATCTACCTATCAGTCTCTCTAAAAAAATTGGGGGGGGGGGGGGGCAGAATTTCACCCAATGACCTCATTTCTATGAGCGATCTAAAAGGAATTGTTGATTTTTTCAGTTTGTTCAGCTCTTTGTTAGGACCAAGTGATGATTTCTAGGCTCCTGAAATGCCAAACCAAAAACCAGGAGTTCCCCATTTATATTTATGTATCTGCATCATTGTATTTGAAGAGCTTATTCATAGCTGTAAGGACAAAAAGCTGAGATGTAATCAGACATAGCATTTTGTAAAGCTATAACTGTTTAAAGCAATCCTTTAGAGTTTTCATGACTATTGTCTATCCTGCAAATGTGAAATTAAGTAGGATACAATTATTTGGAAGGAGACACAATTTAGAAACTTAGCCCTTATAAAATTTTTCTCAGCTTTTAAGATATTGTTTTCTTACTCTTCAAAAACTCCAAGTGGTTTGTGTTATACATGCTTCTTTTAAAAGTTGTTCAGCTTGAAATCAGTTTAAAAATAATCTCAATTCTATTTCCCATATCATTGTCAGCCCACTATAGTTAGCCTCTACTTTGTAGTTCCATCAGAATTATTCTAGGCAAGGTTATAAATAGCACTTATGCTGCCAAGTATATTGATTCTTTTTCAGTTCTTAATTGAGTAGCACACCTGCCAGCTTCTTCCTTGAGGCACTTTCTTATTTTTTTTCTATTTATTACAAGGTGTGGTTTTTTAATTTGTTCTTTTTAGTTATACATGACAGTAGAACATTTTGATATATCATACATACATGGAGTATAACTTCCCATTCTTGTGGTTATAAATGATATAGAGTTACACTGGTCATGTATTTATATATGAACATAAGAAAGTTATGTCCAATACATTCTATATTTCCCATTCCCATCCTCCTTTTGCTTCTCCCCATTCCACCCTGTCCAATCCAGTGAACTTCCACCTCTTCCCTCCTTCATCTATTTTGTGAGTCAGCACCCACATATCGGAGAGAACATTCAGCCTTTGGTTTGGGGAGATTGGCTTATTTCACTTAGCATGGTAGTCTCCAGTTCCATCCATGTTCTGGCAAATGCCATAATTTCATTTCTCTTACGGTGAGTTGTATTCATTGTGTATACATACCACATTTTCTTTATCCATTCATCTGTTAATTGGAACCTAGACTGGTTCCACAGTTTAGCTATTGTGAATTGAGCTGCTATGAACATTATGTAGCTGTGTCACTATAGTATGTTGAAGTCCTTTGAGTATATGCTGAGAGTGGGATAACTGTGTCAAATGGTGGTTCCATTCCAAGTTTTCTGAGGAATCTCCATAGTGCTTTCAACAATGGTTGCACTGATTTGCACTCCCACCAGCACTGTATGAATGTACCTTTTTCCCCACATTCCTTGAGACACTTTCTTCAGTTGGTTACTGAGATGCATCTTTTCCAGAGGTTTCCACTGATCTGGGTTCACTTTTAGTCTCTTTTGCTGACTTATCTTTCTTCATAAGAAATTGACATTTTTTTTCCTTTTCTCCTCCTCCTCCTCCTCCTCCTCCTCCTCCACCTCCACCACCACCACCACCACCACCACCTATTGAATTTCTTCAATAATTTTATTCATTCCTGTGGCTATAAATCATCTATGTATCCATTCTCAGATTTATATCCAGCTTGACCTTTTCTTCTGTTCTCCCCTGAGGAAAGTTTCCTGTAATCCAGAAAAACTCAAGTCTTGAAGGATAGTTTAGGTGATTTGTATTTCCTTCTCTTTTATTGACCATATAGAACTTTAAAGTTTACAAAGTATTCTCAAATATCTAATCTCATTCTGATAGTCTCAGCAACTGAACTTGAGCTCTAGAGTTTAACTAAATGTCAACATGTAACTGGACTTACAAAGCAGGAGTTCAGGTCTCTATCAGTGATTTTTTGCTGTACCATGTCATCTCACTTGAAATAGAACATTTCAACTATTTATTGTGTCTGCTTGTGCTCTGGCTGTCAGGCAGTTACTTATGGTGTCAATTTTGATCCCACAGGTGGATTTGACATGGAAGTAAAAGGTTGGGGTGGAGAAGATGTTCATCTTTATCGAAAATACTTACATGGTGACCTTATTGTGATTCGGACTCCAGTTCCTGGTCTTTTCCACCTCTGGCATGAAAAACACTGTGCAGATGAGCTAACCCCTGAGCAGTACCGCATGTGCATACAGTCCAAAGCCATGAATGAGGCTTCTCACTCCCACCTGGGAATGATGGTCTTCAGGGAAGAAATAGAGATGCATCTTCATAAACAGGCATACAGGACAAACAGTGAAGCTGTTGGTTAACAAAATTGTTAATGTATAACAGTATAACCATAAACCAGCACTATTTATTTAGCCTTAATTCCAGTTCCAGATATTGTGCCTCTTCCAGAAAAGACTTGTTTATTTTTAATATTCTTTCCGACATTATGTTGGCAGTTCAACTTGATAGAAGAAGAAAACCAAGTGTTTCAATGCAAAGCCTATTTGACAATACTGCACTATGGAATAGTAGACAAAATGAAATCTGGTGTCTGCCCCAAAAGTAGATTTGAGTCAATTTTCTGCCTGGTGCCCATGTTCTGATTCTGTGAGATTGCATGCTGTGATTGCATCTGGTGAAGGGATAGAATATTCTAGGCACATTGCTACAGAGGAGACAGTGGTACAGACGTGGTGCAGGGACAGGTACTATTTCTTCACTTCACCTGCTGACCACTAAGTCAGTCAATCTGATTTTTGTTTTGTTTTTCTTTGTTTTTTTCATGGTACTGGGGATTGAACTCAGGGGCCCTCTACCACTGAGCTGTATCCCCAACCCTTTTTATTTTTTGAGACAAGTTCTCACTAACTTGCCAAGGCTGGCTCCAACTTGAAGTCCTCCTGTCTCAGCCTCCTGAGTAGCTGGGATTACAGGCAAATACCACCACACCCAGCAATCTGCTTCATTTTTAAAGGAAGACTATTAACTTTGGTTAATAGCTTAAAAATCCTTTTTTACTGAAGCAGATAATAATTAATTGACATATCTGAAATTCCCAACCAGTCAAGAGATGACAAAAACCAAAATCCCTTAACTTAATATGGCTTAGCCCCCAAATGTCTGTTTTTAAATAAGTGGATAATAGTAGAAAATAGTTTAGAATCTATTACTTGATTAAAAATATGTTGTTACTCTATCAATATGTTGGTCAAAGTTGCTATCGACTGTTTTGAACAAATGTGAAAGCATTTTTAACAGAGCATTTAATATGTTGGAATGCAGGATACTAGCTATGTTTGATCATCAAGTTTATGTGAGTGAGAGATATCAGTGCCTTCCTGAGGAGGCTCAGGATAGATGAGCATAGCATGTGTTTTTGCTTTGTATTATCTCATTTAGCATGGATCCATATGTATTGTTATCCTTTATTTTATAATGTGTATATTTGCTATATCTGTATTTGCATAATTACAATATTTTGAATTGAAAGAGAATTTCTGAGGGGAGAAAAAAGCAATTGAATGAGGTATATACAATAAGACCAATCTGATTTGAGAAAAGGGAAGAAAGGGAAGGTAGTTTGAATAAAAATCTGAATTACAAACTATTTTAGAGAAATATATACTTATAGATAGAATGTTTTAATTGAAGTATATATTATATTAATGAGACAAGATGAATAAGAAATTATATTCACATAGGACTATACTACATTATTTATCACACATGGATCTTTTGCCATTAGGTCAATTGCTAGATTCAGAAATTAGAAGGTTAAAGGCATTGCATAAACTTTTTTATCCTTTGAATTTTAAAAGGGACCTACTATTTGTATACAAACCCCTGAAAATTCATAGAAGAAAAATTATTATTCATTTTGCTCTGTAAGTCATATTATCTGAAATATTACAAATTCCAAATTTCTAGGTGCTACATGAATTAAATTTTACAGTAACTTAACTAATTATTTTTACATATTTTAAGTTGGGGTAGCGTTAGGTATTTTTAAAGATGTGTAAAATGTCCTCTGAAAAATTAATTCAGGCTATTGTCCCTTTTGTATGCAGTTATTTATTATGAAGACCAGTAAATTATGGCATTTAAAATGAGAGAACTTGTTTGTAATGGTAAGTTGCAGCTTGTTTTTTGAGGAAATCAAGTTATTTTACTTTTACTTCTATTTTTTAAAACTCTCTTCTAATTTAAAAATAGAAAGGATAGAAAGTAAGCAGGAGAAACATTACTGTTTTGACATTAAAATGGTACCAATAAAATATTTTATTACCAAAAGTTAAATGAAAATTATTTCTAGTGTAAAATGTCACAAATACAGAAAAGTATATAATATGCAATTGTGTATAAAGAACAATGAAGCAAACAGCAGTATATGCCACCTGGGTAAAGATACAGGATATCACCAATGACAGGCCCCTGTGGCCCTCCTAGAGCACATATCCTTTCCCTTTCCACAATAGTCACCATCTGATTTTTGTGATAATTTCCACTTGATTTTTTTTTTGTCATAGTTCCTCCAACAGTGTACATATCTCTATCTAGAATTCTGTTTAATTTTCCTTTTTAAAGTTTTTTATATATTATTTCATACTATATTCTTTTAGTATTATGTTTTGAGATTCACCATATTAACCTCAAAACTGGTTCATTTTTATTACTGAATAATATTGTATGAACACACTGCAATATTTATTAATTGTTCTATTTTACTGATAAATACTTGGATTTTTTCTAATTATTTGTTGTTATTCTATTGTTGGTAGTTTTTTGGGTTGTATATAGTTTTTTGTGGCTTGTTTGCTTTGTTCTTAGAAGCAGTGGTGTCGTAAACACCACTCTACATGCTTCTCACAAGCTAGTATTTCTCTAGGAGTAAAAATGCTGAGTCATTGGGTGGGTACATGTTTAACTTACTTTCCAAAGTGGATCACCTTCCAGTACTGGGAAAATTTACTTTTCATGCTTGATAATACTTATTATCAGTAGTAATTCTTGCCGACCTAGTGAACTTTAGGCATGAATTGTAGTTATAATTTGTATTTCCAGTGTTTTTGCCCATTTTTACCAGCTCATAGAAATTCTTCATATTCTAGATACCAATTTTTCTTGATTAAATATTTATCGTAATCAAGATGATTATCTTCTCCCAGGATGTAGCTTCTCTTTTTCCATTCTTGATAGTACTTTTTTTTTTAGTTGTTGATGGATCTTTATTTTATTCATTTATTTATATGCAGTGCTATGAATCGAACCCATTGCCTCACACATACACATGTGAGTTAAGCACTGTACCACTGAGCCACAACCCCAGCCCTTGATTGTACTTTTTGATGAGTAAAAATTAACTTCAATTTGACTAGTCTTTTTTTCTTTATGATTTCTACTTTAACGAACTTTGTTTTTTAGAGAAGTTTTAAGTTCATAGCAAAATTGAACAGAAAGTACAGAGCGTTACCATTCAGTAGTCCCACCTTATCTACAGTTTTACTCTTTGCAGTTTGGGTTACCTGTGGTCAGCTAATCCAAAAATATTAAATGGAAAATTCTAGAAATAAGCAATTTAGAAGTTTTAAATTATGCACTATTCTGAACAGTATGATGAATATTCTGAGCAGTGTGATGAAATCACATGCCATCCCACTCCATCCTGCCTGGAATATGAATCATCCCTTTGTCATGCATATTGATACTATGTAGTACCCATCTAGTTATCAGATCCACTGGCATGGTATCACAGTGTTTGTGTTGAACTTAGAAGGTCAGTAGTAGCCTAACCCCATGTCCCAGTGTCTATGTCATTTATCTCATTTTATCACATAGGCATTGTATCATTTTACATCTTAAGAAAGGTAAATATAGCACAACAAGATATTCTGAGAGAGGGACTGGGGTAGTTTGGATATGAGCTGTACCCCAAAAGCTTCTATGTTAATGCAGGAATGTTCAGAGGTAAAATTATTGAATTATAAGAGCTGTAACCTAATCAAGCCATCTTAGTTTGAATGGACTGGATAGTAAATACGCAGGTAGGGCATATCTGGAGGAGGTGGGTCACTGGGAAAGGGCCCAAGAAGGATATATCTTGCCTAAAGCCCAGTTCTCTGCTTCCTGGAGGCCATAAATGAAGCATCACTCTTCCACCATGATATTCTGCCTCACTTTGGGCACAAAGCAATGAAGTTGATCCACCATGGACTGAACCGCTGATATTTTGTGAGCCAAAACAAACTTTTCCTCCTCTAAGTTGTTGTCAGGCATTTTGGTCACAGCAATGAAAAACCTAACAGAAATTTGTATGAAGAAGTAGGGTTGTAGCTATAACTGACTTCACCATTTGGTTCAGAAAGCTTTAGAGCTTGCAGGAGGAATTTGGAAAAGTTTAGAGATGAAACCAGAGAAGCTTTAGAATAATGTAAGGAGAGCTTAATGGGAGATTCTTGGAAAACTTGGAATAGCCAGAATGCCAATAGGAATGCAACTGTGCTCATGAGATTTCAGAGGGAAATGAAGATTCTATAGGGAATTGAACTAGAGGCCACTCGTGTCACATTCTGTCAAAGAACTTGTCTACAATTTGCCCATGTCCTGACTTTGAGACTATATTTAAAAGTGATGGACTAATTAATCTAGCAGAGGAAATTTCAAGCCAGCAGTGTTTGATCAGTGGCATGGATATTGCTGGCAACTTTTACTCAGATTTACTGTGAAAATTGGGAGCAAAAAACAGAACTAAAAGATTTTAAAAGCTTACAATTTGACCAGAGAAGTGCTGGTAAAACTGGAGCCAAGAGAGGTGTGCTTGTTGAAAAAATTATAGACCCTAAAGAGATACCAAGTACTTTCACAGAGACAATATTCCGGAAAGATAGCTTGAGGGCATTTCAGGATTTTGCAAGACCACACCTTATTGCAGGCTCAAGTGTGTAGAAAGGAAAATTCCTTGAAGAAGAGATCCTGGGGATGCACATGAGGGCCTAGGAAGTTGTTTCACCATACTCAGCCGGCCAAATTCTCACAGGCTACTACAGCTGTGATCCCTGAGAGCTCAGCTACTACATGAACTGGCAGCAGACCTTGGCGTAATCCACATGGTGCTGTTTCTGCACAAATTCAGGATGCTTCGGTTAGAGGGTCAGGAAAGCTCCCACTGAGATTTTAAAGGAAGGTCTGAGAGGCCAGGTGAAGTTTAGCAGGATTGGAATCCCTGCAGGCTGGCCCTGAGAAGACAATGCATGATGCTGTGAAGTTGAAGCCATAGCTGAAATGGAGACCCCAAGAATTTAGAGATGCCAGTAATGTGGGCTGTCTGAAAAGAAAAGTTGCTGGCTGTGGAGAAGGCCAGCCTAAAATAAAGCCCATGTGTGCTGCAACCAGGAAAGTCAAAGGGCAGAGCTGCCCAAGCTCTTTGGAAAGAACATCTCGCAGCCATGTGTCCTAAATGCTGTACAAGGAGTTACAGTGGAGTTATAGGACCTGTTTGTCCAATTTGGTTTTGGTCTTGCTTTGGCCCCATTTCTTTTTTTTTTTTTTTTTTTTTTGTTTTTAGTAGGCAGATTGCTTTTTTTTTTTTTTTTTTTTTTTTTTTTTGTAGTTATAGGTAGACAGATGCCTTTATTCTATTTGTTTATTTTTATGTGGTGCTGAGGATCAAACCCAGTGCTTCATGCATGCTAGGCAAGCGCTATGCCACTGAGCCACAACCCCAGCCCCCCATCTCTTCTTTCTATGCCCCTATTCCTTCCATTTGGAATGGGAATACTTATTCTGTGCCACTGTATTTTAGATACATGTAACTTGCTTTTGACTT